AGACACCAAGTGGGTGTGAGTGTGTTTAGGATAGATTACCGTACTATTAAGAGGAATGAAACAAGTCATGAAATCTGGTTATCAAAGTGCCACTAGATGTTCTAATTCATTACATATGCATTTAGATTCTACTGAGTGCTTACACCCTTGAAAATGTTTATGAAAAGTTGCTGACACACGTGTACAAGGTGATACACTTGGTGGTTAGCATATTTGAGCAAGGGTGGAGAAGTTGGAGTTGAAAAGGAGGAGTTTTTGAGGGCCGGACCCTGGGTCTTGGGATGACCAGACCTAGACAGGAAGAGTCTAGTCTCCTCTGTGTCTGGCGTGGGGGCGTCGGACCCAGGCACACGGCGTGACCGAGCCCAGGTATGAGGGTCTAGTTATGCGGTGTCGTAGGCACTAGAGAGAGTGGAGACAATGTGGCAGCACGAGGAGAACCGGACCCTGGCTCAGAGTCCGATCATGAGTACTGGACGGGGTCCGATCATGTTTTGCCCCCTCTAGACTTCTCTAGAATCGGTCGGACCCTAGGGGCGCTGGGTCTGGTCGTTGGCGCGACTAGGTCCGGTCATAGTGGAGTTGACGCGTAGGAGCGAGGTGGTTGTGAGGGTCGGACCCGGTTGCTGGGTCCGGTCATGCGCGTTGGACTAGGTCTGGTCGCCTTTAGGCGCTCGGGAACCTCTCTGTTTCCCGTCGATCTCACGCGTGTAGGAGCGTCGAACCCTGGAGGTCGGAGGTCTTTATTGAGCCACGTCCGACAAAGTCAACGACCATCCCGTCGTCCTTGTGCTAGAGGGAAACAAAATCCTTGTTCTAGACTTCCGGGCAGTCTTCGTCTGTTTTAGATTTGCATAGACCCTTGTTCCCATATGTAGTTCTGCCAGTAGTTCTCAGTAGAACATGTAACATGTCTGCTCCAAACATGAGCAATTGTCGCTCTTGCTTTTCAACTGGCTGCGTGATTCATATGCATAGTTGATCTCTCCACCATGCAATGATTTAATGTTGTATCTAGCATATAAAACAGTGTGATGAAACTTTGCATCGAGGGAGATTGTTTCATTCATGGACATAAATCAACCAAAATGATGTGGCATTCTGAAAACCGTGGAATGAAACACACACTATGTAAAAAACTATAATATACGTCGGCACCCTCTACAGACTCTGGCCTAAACGCGCGTCTGTAATATGAGCTTACAGACGCGCTTTGCCAACACACGTCTGTAATATGTCGGCAGGGTCAACACACGTCTGTGATAACTTGTTACTATGAACACGCGTATGTAATATATCAGCATGGTCAACATGTGTCTGTGATAACTCATTACTACAAACACGTGTTCAGAAGCCGCGTCTGTAATTACGAGAACGCGCGTCTGTATTAGAGATATTTTGTGAGAGTCGTGTCCTAATAAACACGCGTCTGTCATAAACAGTCACGGACCCGAAAAAATTATGCAACCTAGTTGACGGACGACTCGAGTCCGACGCCACCGCCCCCCTCCTCCTCATGCCACCGCCCCCTTCCTGCGCCAGCGAGACAACCACCCTTCCTCCGCCGGCGCGACCATCACCCCTCAGCCAGCGCGTTCACCACTCCCTCCTCTCCTTTCCTCTCTCTCAGATCTGGGCCGGCGGCGGCGGATCCCCGCCCGCCTCCCTTCCCCGTGCCTCCCTCCCTCCAGACCGGCGGCAGTCCGCCTCCCTTCCCGTGCAAGCTAGGGTTCGGGGGGAGGCCATGCCGGCGCCATCGCTGGCACGCGTCTGGGCGCCTGTGACGCGGATCCGCCAGACGCGGGCAGGGCTGGCAATATCCAAGCCGCCTCCTCCTCCCCATCCCCCTCGTCGCGTCCTCCACCTTCCCTTCACCTCGGGCCAGATCTGGACGAGGGCGTGGTGATTCGCGTCGAGAGGGCGGCGATTCCAGTGGCAGGTGCGGCGATTTAGGTGGTGGTGCTTTCGATTCCGGCGGGGGAACAACAGATCCGCCATGGGAACTTTCGCCTCCTTAATCTTAGCTGATTGCCACGTACTGATCTCCTCAACCCTTGTTGTACTGTGCTAGATCCACTGTATCTCGCCCTTTTGATTGGATCTGGCTGACAACGCTGAACTTAACTTCTCGTCAAGGATACTCGGTAAAATCCTCAATTTCTATTCAGTTCTGGTGCAGTTAATTTGTTCGTACAAGCACGTTTGGTTGTTATTGCAAACTAAAAATTTGTGTATGTCATATAGCAGTTGTAGTGAATTTAATCTCGCATATGGCAAGATCCTGTTGAATACTTCCTTAGTCATCATTGTTCCAACTTCCTTGTCAAATACTACTTTCCTTTGCATGCTGGACTATTCCTTGTCAAATAACAGTCTGTGGTACATCAGTTTGTGAAGCCTTCTTGATTAGAAAGATAATTGATATTTATTTTTGCATTTGCCTATGTGGGCTAGTATTTTAAGTGTTGTGCAATATTTTAAGTACAGGCGTGTGCTTCCTTCAGACATTTTTGTTTTGCAGTCTGCAACATCATTTAGTTTCTCTGCTCTGTATTAGACTTCAGGTATGGACAAGTCGTTTCTCTGATTCAGTCTGTCAATTAGTTCTCCCCAGTTCACTTTAGAATCTAATTGTATCATACTGCATGTTAAGCTTGTGTATGTTAAGCTTTCTGTTTCAGTTCAGTGACAATTAGTTCTTGTGTCTCGTGATAAAAAGTAGAGGCAACAAAACTTCTGTCAAGTTCTTTACACAAGCTGAGCTGTTAGCTACCAGTACAGACACACATGAGCTGTTTATCAATATGAATATATATTGTGTATCAGCTTTTAGTTTTATCGAAATATTGAAATAAATTTTAGAGGAATGTTTTGTTTCAGTTGACATACAGTTCACGTTTTGCAGCATTGCATCTTAGAGGAATGATCTGAAGATGGGTAAGGGGAAGATTGCTGCACACTGCAGGTGAGACCTTTGCTTCAAGTGTCTGTCAAAGACAATGTACCTTGGTGTCATGTTTATTGAAACCAGTGCTAAAGCTGGGTTTAACATTAAGGTTTGCTTCAGAAATATAAACTGCTTACATGTCTCGTTTCATAAGTTGGGTACATATTGATAAAATGCTTCTAGAGAATGCAATTTTTTCCTCTAAAGTTCAGAGTAGTGTGTTTTTCTTTGGAAAGGCCTTTATTTTTCTGCCTGTCATCGACCACCACAAATTCAGAGTAGTATGTTTTTCTTTGGAAAGGCCTTTATTTCCCTACATATTCTGTTATGGTCCATATTTATAAGCTGTAGTTATTCTGCTTGATCTTTGGAAAGGGTTTACTGCTCTCAATTGTCTACCTTGATCACAGTAGTGAATGTGCAGTAAGCAAAACATAAATTAGTTGTAGATTTGCAGGAAGATGGTAGCTGCAGTTACTCTTCTTGATCACAGTAGTATGAATGTGCAGGAAGGTGGTAGCTGCAGTCACTCTTTCTTCAGCCTGTTCGTTTCGGCTGAATTGGCTTATAAGCCATGGCTGAAAGTACTGCTGGCTGGTTTGGTGTGAGAGAAAAATACTGTTCAAACCGTGGATTATAAGCCAGATACGAGCAAATAAGCCGAAACGAACAGGCTGTAGCTATCAGCTTATTTGTATAATCATAAAGCTGACAATTGGTTCTTTTGTTTTCTCATGCTGTAGCTATCAGCTGGATATCAATGTTGACAAAGCAGCTGATTTCTTTGAAGCAGTATGCAGGCTGTTTTCCTCCTTAATATACATCCCAGTGCATGGTGTGTAAATTTCTGAGAGATAATGATAGAATTGTAGAAATTCTATATTTCTTCTCCTTGACTTATATCTGCTAGAGTCAGTGAAGTGTTAGTGGATCTCCTAGCAGACCTTCAGTTTTTTGTTTGGTTGGCTGCTTGCAAATTTATTCTCTAATTAGCATGAAACTGTCTATGTATTGGAAACTGTCATGTATGATAGCGAATTGGGAAGTGATAATAACTTGTTTTGAAGAGCCAATTTATCACTTGTGTGTGATCTCTTTTTGTATGGCTTGGAATTTGATTGCTAATGAAAGTTTCATGCCTCTTGCAGTTTCCAATTGACTTGGAACAATATGACCGAAGAGAGCAGCTTAAGTAAAGTGGCCTGGTGATAAGGACCAATAGGCAGTGTAAGTTTGATGCCTCATCTAAGTTTGATGCCTCATCTAAATTCTATATTTTGGCCTACTTTGGTCCAGGTGTAATGTACATATATATATTGGTGCTTTCAGAATGCCATGTGACAAACCACATCCTTGTGATAGAGTTTCTTGCAATATTGCACTATGTAATAGCTTTTACTTGCGGTATGTTGGAGGGACATGTAATAGCTTTTGATTTTACTTCATGTATATGAAATTGCTAATTAGCAATAGACTACTATTTATATATAACACCATGGCAGTGAGGATTTCTTTTTTTTATTTTTATATTTCGTTATTACAGACGCCTGTTGGCTCATCACAGACGCGTTTTTTACTCCACCAGTCTGTTGTATGAACCAATCACAGATGCGTGTTGTTGGTAACACACGTCTGTAGTATGAGCTTATTACAGACGTGTTTTTGTTGCGTCTGTAATAAGACCTTACTATGGGCGTGTTATTAGAGACGCGCTAAGGTGCGTCTGTGACGTCTCTAAAGGTGTGTCTGTGATGTGCTTTTTTACATAGTAACACCATTGAGACTGGCCTAATAAAGCAATGATTTATCGTCCACTTACAACTATGGATATGTATTTAAGGTTGTGGCACTTTTGCCTATTGATTGGTGCATTGAATAACAATTTAACACAATGGCGGTTTGAATTACATGTAATTCGTAATTTGAGTATACATATTGTTTGCTCTGTCCATTTTCTAATCGAGGAAAATGGGCATGCCTTATTTGGGTAGGCATATGTAGGTAGAAACGACGTGTTCATTCGTTTGAAAATTATTACAGCGTTTGAAAATTATTACAGCGTTTCTAAGTATGACTTGGCTAGCTTGTTGCCAAGCTGGACTTGAGCCTCCATGGTAAGATGCGTGTGATCGCTCGCAATGGGCAGCCCCATGGCATCAACGTACTTGACATTTGGGAGCGTGACTGCCTTTTGAGCTTCCCTCACGAGGTCGAGGAACTTTCCGTTGTACTGCGCAGTTGCAATCCCGACCTATATATAATATGATATTTAGAGACAAACAATGACATACTATAAACAAAAAGTTAGCAAATAAGAAATATAATTGATCCCTTTGAAATACTAAATTTGGATTAACGCATGAGTATTGATTCAAGAAGAGAACCACGACCCACTGAAACAAATTTAGTCATGACATATATCCATGTGTAATCATTCAATAAATTCTACGAGACAACGTAGGCATGTGTCGTAGATTCATACATATCCATATTTAATCATCCAACACAAGGACCACTGCATAAATTCAGTAGGAGTAGATGAAAAAGCTCTCTAAAATAGATAATTGTGTATGTACACATGTGGTGAATCCACGACACAGATCCCACTAATGAGCGAACATTCACTTCTAATTCAGCGAATGACGAGACAAGCCTACAACTTTCCTTTTTTTTTGGAAAAAAATGTTTCCAAAAATTTTGATTTTTGGAAAGTCACAAAGTTATACTCACAACTTTTGTGCATAATATTTTGCTAGACATAACTTATAACCACAACTTCTAATCATAAAATTTTAATATGTTTTTTACATAATTTATATACAACTTATCATGACATTTTTTTCTATATATTACCTTTGAAACCCAACTTTTGTTCATAATTATCAATGAACATACCTTTCATAACAATTGAACAACATAGCATTTCTAACACAAATTTTTATATAATAAATTTATGAACAATGTAACTTATACATATAAGTTTTTGTTTACCAATGTCTTTTGAAAATGTTTATACACAACTTATTCACCACATTTTTTTACATAATTTGTGTTGCATACAAACTTCTAAATCTACAAAATTTGTTCATAGAGAAAAATGGGTGGTTAATATGAAAAAATGAAAAAGTAAAGGAAAAAGAAGAAGCGAGAAAACTGTGAAGATGCCTGTCGAATGAATCGTAGCTGAATTGGATTTGCCGTACTGCGGTTAGCTAGCTAGCAGGTGCGGAGTAGCGTTGGAGTAGTTACAATTCCCTACAACTGCTTACACTGCTAGGGGGGGTTTAAAAACAAGAGCAAATAGGAGTAAAAAAGTGACCGCACACTCTGGTTGTTTGGCCTTGCTATGGGCCAGAAAGGAAAATGACCGATTCGGTCTGTTTGTTAGGAGGTAGTACAACTGTACGTGCAGAGAGCGAGAGCAAGAGCAAGAATCTGTGAGTGACCTGGATGACGAGGAGGTCGGGCCGGCCGAGGTCGCCGCGAACGTCGTGCACGAGAGTCTCCATACGCCGCCGGTAGAGCTCAGCATCCTGCCGCCTCATGGTGTCAGCCTCCCCCTGGAACCAAAGCATGCCGGCGAGCTCACCGCGTCCGCTGCACTCGGCCACGGCCGCCCTGGCGCGCGTCACCATCCGCTTGTACAGCTCCGTTCCCCGGGACCAGTTGGCGATGGGCGTGCCGCCCTGCGCGCACGGCACGAGCCCGACGACGACGGACTCCGCGCCCTCGCTGGCGAGCACGGCGTGCGCGAAGGGCATGCCAGGGCCGACACCGACAACGTTGCCCACGTCGATGCCGGCGTGCAGCGGCTCGCGCGCCTCCTCCCAGCGGAGCGCGGGCGAGAGGCGGAGGATGCGCTCCGAGGCCGCGCACCCCGGCGGAACAATGCCGTCCCAGGTGCCGTTGGTGGCGCCGCCGCGGCCGCTCATGTTGGACTGCCCGGCCAGGATGAAGACCAGCGTCCGGCCGCCGGACAGCCCACCAGCCGCGGTGGGGAGGAGGAGCAGGAGGAAGGGTAACGCTAACGCTGGCCGGAGCATCGCCATTATTGCCCACAGTGCCTTTCACGTGTTCTTTGGTTATATTGGATGCCTGAATGGAGGATGGAATGGATCACGGACTACAGCTAAATAGGAGTGGTACTCCTAGTGGTAGGCATTGATCGATCGAAGCAGACAAAGATGAGTGACGAAAGATTCGTTCCGATCCATGTGTCTTTTTCCGCTGAAGCATGTGACAGCGTGCATGCAGCAGATGGTACAGTGACAAACAACGAAGTTCACCAACCCATATGTACGGAGTGCTAGACTTTTTCCCGCTGTAAGAAGCCAGCTAAGCACTATGTTTGCCTAACTGTAACTAGTCGTTTAACCACTGCCATGTTAATGAAGGAAGAAGGGCAAAAAATTACAGAGTCTCTCCTTAATTTCACTTTAAAAGAACTAATAAAAAATTATGGTTGCTAACGCAGACAATCAATCAAATCCATAGAAAAGCTGACTTATGGCTAGCTGCCTTGAAAACCTACTATCAGAAGAAGCTCCTATCTAAATAAAGGCTTCCCCAACGCGCTAGCTTAACCATTAGCTCCATCCTCCATCTTTCTACCTGACCTCCACATCACACAGTTTAGTAGCTCTGTAGGCTGCCTGAGTGGCTGTCAGGGTGTAACAAGTACTTCCTTTGACAAAAGGGTGAAGCTCCTACCGCAGCACGTGTTGTAGTAGAGAATTCATTAGAAGTTTACATTTTACATGAGATAGAAGATAAAAAGAGTATGACAAAAAATCACATACTCCCCCACATGCAACAATTACCAAGAAGTCATATATGTGTTAACTTTGACTAAATATGTACAAAATATATTAATATTTATGATGCATAATGAGTATAATTAGATTATAATAATTGAATATATTTTTTAACAAATATTACTAATATTTTCTAGAAAAATAGTCGATTTTTAAAAATTGATATATCCACAACCCTACGTGACTCTTTTTAGGCAGGGAGAGTACACTTTTTCAAACCAAGAGCACTAGCCTGCTCGCAATGGGAACTCAGTAGTCTACATCTACTTAGCTTATTCAGGTGAGGCATATCATTATATCGGTCCACGTTGTTACATACCTAAGCTAGGTGTTTGACAACCTGACTTTTTATGGACCAAAGAGGTGCCGAGTCCTGCTGTAAATTATGGAATGTCCGTTAGACCCCAAGTGCTATGAAAAATGTCTGAGTAACTAGTATTGGGTTTTTCATGTTTGTAAACTATATGAAATGCAAGAAAAACTACCAATATATATTTAAATATATGTACTTACATATTGTATTCTATTTGTATATTCTTGCGGACATAATGGTGGTGTTCGCTGGTCTGGAGAAAACCAGCCAGCCGGCTGGTTCCCCTCACGCGGCACTGTTCATCCATTCAGCCGATCAGTGTTTTTCTCTCATAACAAACCAGCCGAAATAGTGTTTTTCAGCCAAGTTTCAGACCAGCGAACAGGGCCAATAACATAACAAAAAATCTTGGTTGTATCATGTTTGTGCCACCAAAGCAGCTGCAATAGCATGAATTACAAGGTACGTTCAACAACAGTATAGCTCACATGAATAATATATAGATGTTCAACACGCATTACAGGGCACATGAATAAAAAGAGATGTTCAACACGCATTACAGGGGACAGGGCACATAAAAAGAGCAATGTTCAACTTTTATTTCCTTAGCTCCCTTTTCTCCATAGAGTATCACCGGACTTGTCACCGACTGCTGATCATCCACGTCCCGAGCGGTCTCAGCCAGAGGCGAGCCACGCCGAGCCATCTAGTGAGCCATGTCTGAGCCAAGCGAGCCGCTGAGTGAGCCACGTTGAGCCACGTCGACCATGGACCACGTCGACCACGTCCCAAGCGGCTCTGCCGAGCTCCGACCACTTCGACCACGGACCACGTTGATCGCGTCCCGACCGACCACGTCGATCACGACCACGTCGACCACGTCCCGAGCAGCTCTGCCGAGCTTCGACCACCTCGACCACCAGACCACGTCGCAATGATGATCGCCGCGAAGAACGGCGCTACGACAACCGCGACCACCGTCATGACGACAGGTCGGAAAGCTCGAGGACCGGACAACTTCATCACCGTCGACCAGATTTCTATCCAAAGATAAGTACACTTGTAATATTTATATTTGACACAATTTTCATTACGACGTTTCTCCACAACGTCCTCGTCATGATTATTCTTCAAATAACGTTTGTCCATGTATACCATCTTAAATATAACATACAGCTGTACTTAATGCAAATCCTCGACCAGTCATGTTGACGCTCGATGCCTCCAGAGACGGCCCTGTCTCCGGCTCCTCCCTACACGTGCACGAGCGTCTGCCCTCTGCGTTATGGGTGGTCGGCACCGGCTCCTTAGCGACGTCTGTTCCTCCTACACGTGCACGGGCTCCGCGCTCGACGTTATGGACTATGGGCTAGCTAGGGCTGAAGACTCAGCTACACACTAACTGGTCGGATAATTTATATTAAGTATAAACATAAACTTCACATTAACACTGATGTTTATATAGCACCAACTGCTTTATCACATCATGCTCATTTGTCAAATGACTGCTGAGCGTCATACGCTATTTCTTCACCGCTGATTTTTCTCCATAAATTATTATTTTGTACATCATATACTACCGTTCTATATATTTATATTGCAGGGATCTCGAGCTATGCTCGGGGACTTCACGCCGCTCGCCCCTCGCCCTGTGATCGGGGACTGCCTCGACCACTCTCCGACCACAGCTCGGGGACTTCGCCGCTCGCCCCTCAACCTGTGCTCGGGGACTGCCTCGACAACTCTCTGACCACAGCTCGTGGACTCTGTCGCTCGCTCCTCGACCTGTGTTCGGGGACTGCCTCGACCACTCTCCGACCACAGTTCAGGGACTTTGCATCTCAACTACATGCGACTGTCGACTCACATATAGTTGGGATATTCTTTCTCGTTTAGACCTTGCTACAAGGCTCATACCTCGCCTTCCAGCAAGCTCGGGAACTACATCGGTACGATGCACCTGCCGGTGCATCTTGTATCGCCTGTACGACGATTGGATTCTCAACTTAGCTGGGAATTCTTTTTAGACCCTGACACCATGTGCCTACGTCACCTACTACCAGGCTCGGGGACTTAGTGGTAACACTTCACCTTGCGGTGAATGTGCTCGCTCTAATGGTTCAAACACCTCCGATTCTACAAGGACGACGGTGTCTCTTTTTGACTAAGAGTCAAAGTGGGCACACTTCGAGGAAAAATATTTTTAAATTTTATCTTGAGCCCCTTACATCATTCTGGCAAGCTCAAGACGACGCTACTCAAAGGATACAAGGCGCTCGGGGACTAGCTGTGGGGGAATAGACCCCCTATACCCTCATGGGTATACATGGCCCGCACCACCGAAAGTGGCCCAGCCCGCAAGGTGAAGACGTGTGGAGCACGATATTATATTGTAATTGTACCAAATTAGATACTTTACTTGTAACCTTGTCCCTTCGGAATATATAAGGAGGGGCAAGGGTCCCCTAGAGGACAGATCATACATATCATAACAGATCTCACCCAGATCAATACAAATAACAGAGCACAGGACGTAGGGTTTTACGCCACACTAGCGGCCTGAACCTGTATAAATCTTGTGTCTTGTGTCTCTGTAACCATCTGGTTCCTGATTACGTGCATCCTATCGATAATCTACCACCACGGGCACCCCGTCGGTGGACTGCCGACCATATTTCGTCGACAATGTCCGACTGAGGCCCAGTCGATCCTGATGCTGTATCCATCACAGAAGTCCAGGAACTTCTTTCGCGGCGAAGTTAGTTCCGTGGTCAGTGATGATACAGTTAGGAACACCGAAACGATAGATGATGTCAAGGAAGAACTTGACAGCCTCTTCCGAGTGAATGTTGGTAATGGGCTTTGTTTCTATCCACTTGGTAAATTTGTCCACTGCTACGAGTAGGTGAGTGAAGCCGCCCGGGCCCTTTTTGAGGGGCCCTACCATGTTGAGGCCCTAGACCATGAACGTCTAGGTGATAGGGATGGTTTGAAGCTCCTATGCCTGCAAATGAGTTTGCCGAGCATAGAACTGGCATCCCACACACCTGCGGATGACCTCCTCTGCATCTCGTTGTGACCTCGGGGCCGTGTGATGTCCGCAGATTCCGGCATGGACCTCGAGGAGGAGCTGTTTCCCTTGGTCGGTGGGGATGCACTTCATGAGTACTCTCGATGGACTTTGCTTGTAAAGTTCATTACCGAACACGATGAACGTCTTGGTGCGTCAAGCGATTGGTCACGCTTCAGTCCTTTCTAGTGGGAGAATCTCCTCGAGGAGGTAGGCAAGTAGTGGTGCTCTCTAGTCGGTTGGATCGAGTGTCACCACAGCGACGTCGATGGGCGACGTTGTCATGGAGGCGCTAAGGTCAGAGCCCCCGAGCGCCAGGTTGGTGTCAGAGTATGTCTGGATTGGATCTTCCAAGATGCGAGCAAACGGCTTGTGAAGGTCGTTGATGAAGATCCCATCCGGAGACGGAACCCGCTTGGCAGCCAATTTTGTGAGAAAATCAGCGGCATCATTGTCCTTTCGGGGGACATGGTGTAGTTCGATCCCCTAGAATTTGTCCCCGAGCTCGCGCACCTCCTGGCAGTATGCTGTCATGAGGGGGCTTTTGCAAGAGTACTCCTTCATGACTTGGTTGACGACCAACTCCAAGTCGTCGCGGATGTATAGCCGCATAGCGCCGAGCTCGATGGCGATGCACGGTCTGTTGATGAGGGCCTCATATTCCACGGCGTTGTTTGAGGCTGAAAAGTGGAGACAGATTGTGTAGGGGAGCCTACTCCGTCCGAGGAGATCAGAACCACTCTAGCCCCGAGCCGGGCGCCATTATGGACCCATCGAAGTACATCGTCCAGTACTCGTGGGTGACATCTAGGGTCGGGAGCTAGACATCTGTCTATTCGCCGACAAAGTCTG